GTAGTTGTAAGTGGGAGGATTGGATGCACTCTCCATTTTGTTCCATGTAATGTTCTGTTTTTTCTTTGTATTCTGTTGTTCGTCTCCTCTAGCTTCTTGCTAGCTGGGATCGTGAGTAGTTATATATTTGCCGTTTAAAAAAAAAAAGTTTATTGAGTTTTAGAGTTTTGACGAACCATAAGGCACGAAATGGAGACGAGAGAAGACGGCTGTACTGGTCGATTTTTAAGAATGACAAGCGATTTGACTTTTGAGTGAAGAAGACTTTTTGACTTTTTACTTTTAATTGGCGTGCAACAGGGACCTATAATTGGCCTTATGGAGTTGTTGATGATCATGGGCCAAGTGAGTATAAGTTGGGCTCCCAATCTATTTAATGAATAACCAAGTCTATGTCTAGCAGTATATTGTATAAATATAACTCAAACCCAAAATTTGAAGTCGGCTACTTTGTTGTTAGGTGTGATAGATGATGATAATATATTGTTTATTTGATGAATTTATGATTAAAACAAAGAGGATATAGAACAGTGTTTTTGTTTTTGTTTTTTGTTTTTTTGTTTTTTTTGTTTTTTTTTTGTAATAAAACATAAAAAATAGAATCTAAAATATTTGTCAAATGGTCAATTCTATTTATTACTACATTTAATTAAATTGTTATATTAAAATATTATGTGTAATTTAATAAAATGGAAAAACTCATAAAATGACATGTGAAAAAAAAAATTCAAAATAAACACAAAATGACATTTGACAAATTGAATGAGAGTGTGACAAGTGTCAAATCAAATGACATCAGCATCGCTTTGCAACAACGGACATATCCCTGTCGCCTAAAACTAACCCGACAACTATCTAAAATAAGTATGGAATTAGAGCCTTGACATCCTTCCCAAACTTACAGCCAAACTTTGAAACATACCATTTTCGTGTCGCATAGCTTCGCCCCATCAACAGGAACATTGTGCCTAGAGTGAAACAAAACGTACACCCCGTCTGACAAATGCAACAAACTCCTATGAACTCGACAATTTCAAACATATAGTGTGGGCATATAACCACATCGAACAATCCTCCTTTGGGGATTTTATACTCTCTATCACCTTTCTTTCTTAGACTTGAAAGAATGTAATGATGGTAAAAGTTTCCCGTTATTCCAATCACAAACATGACAAGTCCAATGTATTTAAGATCGAAAGCAGGCTGAGGACATTCTTGAGATAAATATTGGGCGTAAATCATTGTAGCAGTTGACACACCATAGCTTAAACCGATGGTTATGGCATCCTTTAGCATCATAGACCCGGTAAACTTGTGAACGAAAAGGACCTGCACGACAAGCATGCAGTATGAAAACATTTGAACTGAAGTTTATAATTAAAGAAGAAAAACATCGCTTGCGTACGTACCTCAAGGATCCTCTTGAAGAAATGAATGGTGAGTACAGATATAACCATAAGGAATCGGCAATCTTGATGGGGAAAAAAGGTAAAAGAGGCAAGACCCACGAGGAATGATGGTGTATAGAACACAAGCATCCCAATTCTACTAGGCAGCTTAAGCTTCTCCTTGGCTTTTGGCTTGTTTGAACCAGTGTCATTATCACAAAACTTGGCGTACTGCTTGTTTTTGCCTATCAATTCCATGTAACCGGAAGTAATGAGAGCTAGCAAGTTGAAAATAGACATTGCATTGGCGAACAGGGAAGGTGGTGATGGAAATGAGAACAATGAGATCGTCATTTTAATTCTTGATCTCTTTGATGATATAGTTAAGTGGTGCTTTTCAAGTATGTTAATTAGTATGTGTATATATAGGAGACAGAAAATGATGGTAGGCAAATGAGACAAACTTGAATTTTAAAGCAACGACCTGAATTCAATATTCCAGTTATATTTAGAAGAAAAAGTTTTGGACCGTTCACTAAAAATAACCAGAATAAAAGGATATATCATAGATCAGCATTTACTTTCATTACGAAAACCGTTACATTGTCTTTATTTTTGGATCATAATTCATGGGGTCAAGGGCTGCTGTTCGTGTTGAATTCAACTATTGTTGGTGTCTTCTTCGATCTTGACTCACTCAATGTTACAAATTAGTTTATCTTTGGTCCATCACATTTCATTTTCTCGGCATTTAATGATACAAATTTATTTTGAAGAAATTAATTTTGCATTAAATTTTGATATATAAGTTTGGGGGTTTGACATTTGCCACTTTTTTTTCTTGTTTTTTTGTCGGGTAATAATAATATTGGGCTTCTATCCGGTGTTGTCCTCCCTTCTTGAGGTTGAGGGTTCAAGTACCGTCGTGAACATAAGTGGATTTAAGGTGTAGTTTAAGAGTAGGTTGAAATTTGCCATTTAAAAAAAAAAAAAATAGGTTGTGTTTGGAGATTTTAAGAGCTTTAAAAAAAGCTCCAAAAAAAATAATGAGTTTTTAATTTTCATTTAAAGGAAATTGACTTTGTAGGGTAATAAAATATCAACATATTTAGTCAATTTATATATTTTTGCACACAATTTACCATTATATTTACGTTTGTTGTTCAAGAAACACTATTTTTTGTACACGATTACCATTATACTTCATTTATTGTTCAAGAAATACCATTTTGACTACCTATTGCAGGTTTAGCCGGTTTACGTGTTTAAGAAACATCATTAAACTCAAATTTGATGTTCAATAAACACAATTAAACAAATATTATCATGCACAGTTTACTATTAAATTAAGTTTTGTACACATGTAGTAATTTTCATCTTTTCCGGCTATTATCAATTATTCGATCGTTTTCTCCGGACAAACCATTCACTTGTTTGTTTTTACAAACATTGCAAAAGCACAGTCTCCTTCTCCCATCTGCTAAAAACACCACCACATCCTTTTTTACCATCGATATCTCTCCTACCGTCGCTCACACCTTTCCCTACTCCTCTCACTCTAAAAACCACCCTACTCTCACATCCTTCACTCGCCTTGTTCTGCTTGAATAATGTGCAACCAATAACCACATCCTTTCAAGGATGGAATTTTGTTGGAATTTGATTCTAATTTTTTGGAGGTTTGATCTGATTCTTAGGTTTGAATGTATGTTTGAATCGATTTTGTTGTAGGTTGGAGCTGATTTTATATTAGTTAATTGGTGGTGGTGGTGAATGGTAGAGATGGATTGTTGTGTGGGTGAATGGTGATGATGGGAGGTGGTGCTTGTTGCTGTGGTGGGTGGTGGCAGTGGGAATTGAACGGTTGTGAGAGTGGATGCTTTTGGCCGGAGAAGGTGAGCAAGACATAATTAAATGGTAAATTGTATACAAAAAAGTTTAATGTTAAATCGTATACAAAAAAAAAATTAAGCTATAATTCCCGATCAAAATGGTAGGTTTTGAACAGTTCCAGTAAGTTTAATAGTAAATCGTGTACAATATTTGGATATTTGTAGTAGCGGGGTATGTATAATACATGACCTAAGAATTAGGGATTTTCCACCTTGGATATCCAATGATTTTTATACAACCAATCCAATACAATTATCGATTTGATATTTGGATATTGCCAACCGATCGAATCAAATTCACTACTGTTGGAAAATTCCGAGCTTTGTGACTATGGAGTAGCAAAAAGAACATGGGAAAATGGCCAGCCCGCCATGCATGGCCTTGGAAGGGCTAAGGAAACATTAGAATCAATTGTTCACAAAGCTAAAACATGTTACAAGCAAAGTCAAACTCAAGAAATTAATTTTACTAAAACCAAATCAAAATCTACCAGGAAACCGTTATCTAAGCTCGAATGTTGCATCTTGAACTAGAAAATGAAGCGGTAGTGCAAGCCAGAGTTACCTCAACAAACGACTAAGATCATCTGTGATTATCCATGAGCAATGTGTAAGAAATTAGGCACAGCAAGTTTTCAAGAAGATAATATTAGCAAGAGGCGGACAATTAATTCTAAAGATAATGACTAATCAAAGCTTGATGAGTAAAAACATGGATGATGATTCATCAATAGGATCAGTATAATGATACAAATTCTTTGAAAACAAATTAGAATTTAAGTTGTATGGAATCACCAAGAAAGTGATATTAGAATTTAGGATAATGACTTGAAAGGGTAACTAACTTCTAGGTTTAGTCATTGAACTATTTTCGGTACTTGAATTAACCATGAATTTTTTTGAGATTGTTTAAAATTTACCATTATGATCCCTCTATAGTGGAAATTTTTAAACAATTTAAAAAAGTTCATGGGTAAATCAAGCACAAAATATAGTTCATGACTAAATATATACAAAAGTAGAAGTTAGTTCTCTTTCAAGTCATTATCCCTAGAATTTATATATGATCGTGTGAAGTTAACTTCACATTTATTGATTTTGAACAGGAAAATCAAGAAGGTTGAAACAGTTGGTTCTCTAGCTGATGATATTCATAACCGGTCTGAAGTAATTAACAAATCTATAATTCTAAAAGACAAATTAAGAAAATATAAAGAAATCATATTTAAATCCATATTATATTAAGAGAAAGAATCAACCAGAAGATAAAGCTCTATAGAGTTGGCCTAATGATGATAATAAGATAAGAAAATTTCTGTTCTGTTAAGTTGTTTACGTCAAACCACCCTGTCGAGATATTTTTATAAAAATGTCATAATGCTAGGTCAGTTATCAAAATGTTACAACATTTTTCTTCACTTTCAATGTTAAAATGAGCCATTTTGCCTTGAAAAGCTCACATATACCTCCTCTTTTTTCAATCACTTCATTGGAAAACGTTTCTAAACTTGCAAATTGTTTACATAATCTCATCTTTTTACATTTTTGATTGAGAAATATAAAGGTATAAGAACACTTCAATTCCTATTCACTGTGAATATTTAAAAGGCTACCCCTCCTGGTCATTGGTGCCAAGGTAAAGGTACTTCCACTTTTCTTACTGTTATTTTCCATATCAACTTGTGAAATGTTTAAGACTCTTGAAGCACATTATTCGGTGTTAATTGTGAAATGTGATATTATTAGTATTTGATGTAGATAAACTATTCAAGACAAATGGTGATTGATCCAAGTTTCTATCAGTCGACACACCCAACAAAATCTCAGCCGTTGATGCATCAGCTGAGAATCCCTTACCAACCATTTCATCAACAAACTCAATTGCCCTCTTCCCATTATTATTGCAAACAAGACCTTGAATGACTATATTGTATGTGCATCCATCTGGGGAACAGTAGCCACTTTCTACCATTTCCTGAAACAACATGATTGCTTCATCTTCAAGACCACCCTTGAAAAGTCCATCAATCAAGATATTGAATATACGTGTGTTTGGGTTTATTCCATTGCTTTCAAGACCATGAAAGACATTTTTTGCAGATTCGAGTTCCCTGGCTTTGCACAACCCGTTGATCAGAATGCCATAAACCACAACATCAAGATCCAATTTCGACTCTTTCATCTCTTGAAACAAATTCATTGCTTTCTTATGATAATTATTTTTAAACAAACCATCTAACAAGATTGAGTATGTGACAATATCCGGATGTTGGCCACATGATTGCATTTTCTTCAGGAAGTGCAGCGCGACAGAAGGCTGCCGGGAAAGACAATACCCATGAATCAAAGTGGTGTATGTGATGGTATTAGCAATCAGGCCTCTTTGAGACATTTTATCGAACACCTTTAGTGCATCATCTGTCCTCTTTTTCTTACAATACCCATTGATCAAGATGTTATATGTATGCGCATTTGGATTACATTCGTTGCTAATCATTGAATCAACTACCTTCTCCGCTTCGTGTAACCTACCTTGCAAGCAATACCCGTCAACCAAAGCGCTGTAAGTGACTACATCTGGCTTCACTGCTTTCTGGATCATAAGCTCGACCATTTTGGCAGCCTTTTCGACCTCCCCTTCTTTACAAAGTGAATCCACCAAGATAGTATACGTTTGAACATCTGGATTTGGTATCTTTTCGAATACCTCCATGCCCTCTTTCCACCTGTTTGTATTACACAAACCACGGATCATTGAGTTGTACATGCCCACATTTGGTTTTGAAGTTCCAAGAATCAACTTCTCAAAGAGTCTAAAAGCTTCGGTGACCATTCCATCCTTGCAAAGACTATCAATGATCATGCTATATACAACATCACCAACTTCCATTCTTCCGTTCTTCATTTTCTTGACCAATTGAATTGCAGCATTAGTGTTCCCCATTTTACATAACCCATTGATTATTGTTCCACAAGTAATTGAGTTGGGATGAATCCCTTGTTCCAGCATGTTTTTAAACAACTCCACAGCCAAACCCATCTGGTTATCACCAATCAGACCCTTGATCAAAGTAGTAAACAGGGCAACATCGACTTCATAACCAAGTTTCAATACTCGACCCAAGACTGAGAAACCCAAATCGACACGATTGAGATGACAGTAACAGTTGATCAAAACGCTCAAGATATGAACATCAGGATCAAGGATTTCCAGGAATTCCATTTCTTCAATCACAGATATTGCAGCCTCGTAATGTTTCATTCTCGCAATGGCTGCTACTACCTGGGTGAAGTACGATAAAGAAGGCACGGGTTGCATCTGAATCATTTCATGGAACAGTATATTTGCATCATCAACGCTTTTGAACCCTATTCTGCACTGATTTCTAACGAATTTGTTGAATCGGGCTCGGCTTTTTAAAACACTTGACGGCTTATTGTCGTTGATGGCGGGAGAATTAAAAAAAGCTCTGGAACTGGTGTAACGAACGAAATGATTCGAGTAAAGCGATTTCTGAGAAGCTGTAGATTTCGCCATGCTCGTGTTATGAGATAAGTCCACGATTTGCTTATGTCTATGCTTTTCGGTAAATTTTCGTTTTTAGTCCTAACACTTTGTTAATATTATCTACGACCCTTTAAAGTGTAACAAATTTAAGTTGGGTTGATTTGTGGAATTTCTTATGTTTACTTTCATATTCTTTTTTTATATGATTGAAAATCAACTGTGTGCATAACTCCTATATTCCTTTTAGTAGCTTCAAAAGAAAAATTGTGTTCCTAAGCCTATATTCTCCTTGGCGAAAGATATAAGTTTTATAAGTTGTATAATATAATTTTTGGTACAATAGATTTAATAACGCAACTCAAAATCCGAAATTTCAATAAGTTAAAAATATTTGCAGAAGTGCACCTAAATTTTAGGTGTATTATAGTATTCTTTTTCCAAGATTATAACATATGTTTGCCCATAACTAAATAATATGTGAACATTCTAACTACAACCACTTTTAAAACACATATGGAATTAAAGCCTTGACACCACTCCCAAATTTCTCCCCAAACTTCAAAAGGTACCATTCGCGTGTAGCATAACTCCTTCCTGTCAAGTAAAACACCGTACCGAGAGTGAAAGCAAGAGCATACGTTGTTTGAGCAATGCAAGAGACTCCGATGAACTCTATGATCTCAAACAGATAGTGTGGGCATATAACTAAATCAAATAATCCTCCTCTCGGGATTTTATACTCTCTATTGCCCTTTGTTCTTAGATTAGAAAGAATGTGATGATGATAAAAGTTTCCAACTATTCCAATTATGAACAACACAATTCCAACGTATTTTAGGTCTATTGTAAGCTCGTTATGTTCTTGAGATAGGTATTGAGCATAAATCATTGTCCCGGTAGAGATGGTGTAGCTTGAACATATAGTAATCGCGGTTTCAAGTGCCATGGAACCACTATATTTGTGAACAAATAGGACCTTTAAAGCAAAATGATAAAAGTTAGTTGGTTTCCGAAAAATTGAAAATTTGCAATGAACTATTTTTCATAATAGAAATTCACTTTAACACAATGAAGACAAGGAAATAACAAATTTTAGCATCATTTGTTTTTCCATCCCAATCACACATTTAAATATCATGTCAAAGAGCATATCTTCAATATTTATATGATATAATAACACATTATGGTTATTATACGATTTTATTAGAACATAACAATAACAATCATAATATATATAGTTAATTATTACTTATTTTCTAATAAATTTTTATGTTTGGAAAACTTATTAATATAAAAGTGAAAATTTATAATGTATGTCAACAATTTTAAGTGTTATATTCAATGATGGATCCATTTTAAACTCGAAAATGATTTTTGTATTGACATATTATACACTATAACATCAAATCTGGTACGCTGCTATTCATGAACATTAATAAATTGGTGTTTGACATAATTGAAAAAAGAAAATTTGGTCATCAAGCATTTAGCTTGGTATAAAAATAGATTAGATGCACAAAACAAGCATTGAAAAAAGCGTGAATTTGAATGGTTCAAATCAATGATTTATGTGGTTGAAGTTAAAGAAAGAGACAAAAAGATTGCACCTCAAGTACCCTCTTCAAGAAATGGATGGTGAGAACCAAGATAAGCATTATGAATCGAAGATCTAGATTGCCAAAAATGGTAAAAGAGGCAAGACCCACAAGGAACGCTGGTGTATAGACCAAAAGCATCCCGTTTCTACTACCCACCATAGTCTCCTGAACCTTGTCTTTCTTTAAAGCTGCGACATTGAAGAACTTGGAATACTGCATGTGTTTGCCTTTTGTTTCCATGTATCCACCATTTGTTAGTGACAAACAACTTAATATTGACATAACTGTGACAAAAAAGGAAGAAGGTGGTGGATATAAGAGCGTTTGGAACAACAAAATCGTCATTTTTTTTTCGCTTCCTAAATTTGAATCTCAGTTTGATAATACTACTATTGTGTTTATATCATGTGTTTGTGCCAAACTTTGAGGTTTGAGTTTAAAGGGGTGTGTGAAATGAGTGGCTGCAACATTGTGTACGTGTATGCCAAATTTTCAGGATTTTAACGTGAAATAAGGGGACTCTTATGGAGTTGTGGTGAACACTTTTATAATGTTAAACTTATAAAGAAACAAACATATGTAAAAGCGACATTATGAAGAAAATAACCAAACATCCAAAATTAGTTTCCTAACATCATAGCATTTAAATATGTTAAACCATCAATACATGGTTATGTTATATGCCAATTTTGAGGTACAGATCAGCTAAGAATGAGTGAACCCAAATAAGCCGCGTGGCAAGAACTAAAGAGCGTAAAGTTTGTAAGACATGTACAAAAAAAGTGAATGACACATTTATTTGTCTTGGCATTTGGTGGAATCACTTCAAGCACACGAAAAATAGTGAATGCCAAACTTTATGTTTTCAGACATACTTCCTTTATAAATAATGTTATTTTTAGCAAGTTTGGCCAAAAATCACAATTTGGAATTATGTTCTTTACATTTTTATTATGTTCTAATTTTATTTATTTATTTTAAAAATAGTCCAAATAAATTGTAAGTCTCTAAATTTGGGGATCCTCAAAATTGAAGCCCAAATGATGAAGTTTGGGTCTTATGGTTGGGCCAAAATGGCAAAGCCGGTTTGCTTCACTCGTATGTGTCATCTCGTCCCAGATTCCCAAGTTAGGTAGGTATTTTTATGCTACAAAAACTGTAGATATTTTGATATACATTGATAAATAAAGTGTGAATGATAGTGATTTTGTTTGAACTCTTTATTTTTTAGAAATAAAGTAAACTAAATATTTAAAGTTTGAAATTTTCATGCTCTAAGAGAAGATTATATTAAGAGTCTTCATTGTTTAGTGTGCAACTTAGAATCAAAACTACATATAAAACTATGGTCCCGTTTGATAGTTTCTGTTCGGGAAAGTGTTGTCTGGAAAAGTGTGTTGTATGAGAAAGTTTTCTGATTGGAAAAGAAACCATGTTGTTTGATTGTGAATCTGATTGACTGTCCTGGATGATGATAAATGACAATATTATCATACTGTTCTATACTGTGATGGATAAAGTTGCTGAATAATTATAAAAATATATAAATTTTCATACAAAATCAAAATTACATAATAATCATTTAAAAAACCAAATAGAATGTCAATTAAGTTGTTTTTAGTTTATTATTTTTCAAGTCGATGTTACGTTGTTATTCTTTTTAGCCATTTTTGTTTTTTATAACTCAACGTGTGATTTTTGACCCGGTTTATGTCTGATAGTGGTAGGATGGATGAAATTTTTAAAAATAGATTAGGATGATGGTGATGTTGTCCAAAAAAAAAAATTAATCCAATAAAAAAGAATTATAAAAATTAACTAAAAGAAATTAATAATCAAATAAAGTAATATTTATTTATATATAAATATTATATATTTATAAATAATATTTATTAATATATAGTAATCTAATAAAAAAGAATTAATCCATAAAAAGGAGAAAAGAGAATTATTTAAAAGAAATTAATAATCGAATAAAATAATTTCAATTAATACATAAATATTACATATTAAAAATTATATTTATTAATATATTATAATCCAATAAAAAGTAATAATTCAATAAAAAAAAAATCAAAAAATTATTTAAAAGAAATTAATAATCCAAGAAAAAAAGATGCAAAGTTTGGGGCACAATTGTATTTACAGCCTATTCAGCCAGAAATATATGGTTTTGAAGCTTCTGGGAAATACATATCTTATAGGGTACACCTATTTTTTGGTGCATATTAAACAGTCTTTCCGATCCATTCAGCCAGAAAGATATGTCTGGACCTGGAAAGATGTCTATCAAAAGGGGTCTATATATGAGGACAGAGATGTTTAAAGCTAACAACCGCACCAAAAACGTTTTAAAACACATTATGTAGTGCGATTAGGTCTGCACGGTTTTTACTATTTTTATACAATGTAAATTTTATAATTTTCATCTTATAAAAGTTGTATATATTTTGATATCAAAAAAATCGAACACATCACTTATCGGTTGGACCGGAAACTGGAGAGAGAAGTGATTTAACAACGATCGGTTTTATGTCAATTTCTAGACTGTATTAAACAATACGTTTTTTTTTCAAAAATCAGGTTTAACCGTGATAGATTCGATAAAAAAAAAATTAAATCAGTTTACTGAACTTTGATAGTTGGATTTCATTTGGCCCGTTAAAAACCACTCATCTCTAAAGCAAATTTAACAACTCAATTTTCTCGATAGTTCAAGGTATCCGGAGTGTACACAACTCGAACGGTAACGACACACACCACTATCGGACTCGACTTCAACCCACACCAAACACGAGTCCGATGTTGATATTCTTAACTTGAAAACTGATACTTCTTAGTTGTTATGTCTATGGTTTATAATATAGTTCATTATGATAAGAATTTATGTGTGTAGATGTCAAATTCTTGGTTATATATATATATATATATATATATATATATATATATATATATATATATATATATGAAAATAAAAAATAAATAAAAATTATAAAAACGATTCGGAACGGTCACTAGTGTCAAAGTTGACACCAGACCACTTCAACTAAAAAATCGACCTTTTATAACATTGCTTGTAACTTCTTTGCCCTTATCAGCGTTCTCATATGATTTAGAATATTTTTTTTTTCATGCCTAAAACCAAAACGAAAAGAAGTATTATAATTTGAATTTATGTGAAAGAAACACAATGAAACTTGCACATATCTTTCACAAAATGACAAGTAATTTTCGAAAAAGTAATTTGGCAAAGGAGTCCAAAATTTGGTGGTGGTGCCGTTACAAAACCTAATATCATAGAACGACAGATAATGTTTTTAAAAAAGAATTTTTCAATATGGTTAACAAATTTACAAGAACTTTTTTAAAATTTTTTTCTCAATATGGTTAATAACAAATTTACAAATGCTTCAGAATGAAATGTCTAGCTAT